TGTTTTCAGTTGAGTTAGTTACTAAGAAAGTACAATATCAACCTGAATGTCATGACATTGTAGTATGACAAGTCAATACAATCAAGATACTCAAGGTTTATATTATGTTTATAGAATAAAGTCACGGGTTTAAGTCAACATTGTGTCAAGTGTTTTGTTACAAGCAAGGTTCGGCGCTCCTAAACCTGGTACGTCTGAGAAACTCTAGGAAATATTCTCTTAAATTGAGGTGCAAGTTACATAGAGAAGATAAGGGTTATTTTTGGAATTGCACTACTGAGGATTTTTAGTGAAAAATGTTTGGACGAATCTATCTATTGTCCTTGTGAAACGTGCAATCTCAGAAAAAGCGTTTTTAATGGCATAAAGAATGTCATTTAAAATATTGTAAAATTGTCAACAGTCAAAGTTTTGAAAAGAGAGAAAGTTGAACAAGAACATGTTTCTCTTCTATTGTGAAAGGTGCATTGTTATTCAAGAAGATTGTATATCCTTCCTATAACAGGTTCATTGACTGCATCATCGTTACAAACAAGGTTTCGTTATAATCAAAGTAACTCTCCTTGACTTTAAATTTTGTCTACCTCAACATTCTATTTTCTTATGTTTCAACATGAGAAAATATTCTAGAGATACTGGTACTAAGAAGGTTTGTCTGCTGGAATCCAACAAGGATAAGAGATGCTTGTGTGTTTTTTTGGGAGAAACTTAGACTTACTCTTTATTTCTTTGTGATTTTTCCTTTGGTTCTATTGAGTCAGTTTTTTTAAGAGTCTTCTTGATTCTTCTCTTTTGTCTCTTTTGTTTTTTTTTTCTTTTTGATTAAGTCAATTTTGCTTTAAGGGAGTTCTTTTCCCTTAAGTCTATTTGATTCAATCTATCCTGCATCAATTTATTGAGTCTTATTTGTTTTGTCTTGAATCAATTCTTGCATGTTTTGATTCTTTTGTGTCAAGGTTCTTTTCATTCTTTTTGTTAATTTTTGGCTGAAAAGGGGGAGAAGAGATGTATTGAGTATAGCCAGGTGTTGTTTTCTTTATGCAACACTTTAGGGGGAGCATGATTGTCCATCATGTGAGTCTTGAGTCTGAGTCTATTCTTATAGTTGTTTTGCAAGGATATTTCATAGGATGTTCTAACATCATGTATAAGTCTATGTCTTCTTTGTTCTGGTTCTTTCTGTTGTGCCTTGTGGTCTGAGTTATGAGCATGGTTGTGTCATGTGCTCTGAGTTATCCGGAGTTAAGGTCTGGTCTTGTCAGTCTTCACCTAGAAAGTTCATGGTGATAAATTGGGACTATGTTTGAGAGGGAGTAACGTTTATCTTCTTCCTCGTGTACAAAGTTTATATGTTTAGCATGTAGTTTGTGTTGTGTAATTGATGTACCTTTGATAGATATTTTGTGCAGTTTTCTTTGTGGTGTTACTCCTGTGTTTATAAAGTTTACATGGTTTCATGTAACTTGTGTTCTATGGTCTTATTCCTCTCTCCATCTATAATTGACTTTTGGTTGTTTTAGCCAAAATTTATCACAGGGGGATATTGTTAGTTCTATGGTTTTTGTGTTGGTATAATTTTGCTAAAATATGATTCTACTGATGTTGATTAAGGTGGTGCAACATTCTTGTCAATTATCATAGCAGTTTTGTTGTTATGAGTTTTTCATCCAAATATTGAAGCAGATGTCATGACATCTTGGTCTGGTACAGCAGGGCTGTTATTTTAAACTTTGACAGACTTGATTTGATTTTGTAATATTTCTTTTGGATATTTCTCAGTTTATTTCACAAATTAAGAAGGTTTAATCTGGAACAAATTTTATATCTCCAACTGTGCATTAGTTACTAAATTGGACCTTGAGAAAATTTAGGAAACTTTATATTGGTTGTTTCAAGATTTAAGGAGATTTGTTGCACAGTTGGTGCATCACTCAGCTTATGGATCAAAAAACTTTTGGACTCAGAATATCGAAGCCCATGGACTGTAGAGTTGAATTTAAAGAGGAATCATAACCTAATGTAATTTAAGTTTTTCACAATTGTAAAATTAGGGAAAGTATAAGTCTTAGGTTTTGAGAGTCTCTTGTGTAGTTTGTAAGTCACTCATGTATCCTTGGATACTATGTGGTTGACTGATTGTTACTTGACTGTTAGTCAAATTGTTGCTCTCACTCTAAGGTTTTAAGCGGGAGTTTGATTTTTGTATTTAAAGTGTAATCTTCTAAATTGGGTTGTAATTGTTACAGTCACTGGGATTGAGACTGTTAGATATCACTGTTGTGATTGAAAGTGGGATGACGATTTCTCATATCTAGGAGGTGCCTAGATAGAAGTTGCACTGGGCAGGGATTAGGCGAGAAGTTGTAAACAATGGGATTTAGCTTTGAACTAGTACTACTGATAGTGAATTTCCTTCTTGGCTTGGTAGCTCTCAAAGTAGGTGATGTTGCACTGAGCTGGGTTAACAACTCTATGTATTATTTATCATTATGCAGTTCTTATTTTTGTATCACTTATAGCTTCATTGATCTGGTCTGCTACTAGATGTTGTAACATTTGTCTTAACATCATTCTGATGTTGGAATGTATTTGTGTTGCCTGTACTAGAATTTCAAAACACAACAACATATAAGGTCATATAAAATTCATCCATATGTATTGACACATAATAAGATCAAATTCTACAAAAACACGTCATTTCTAAAAAATTCATACTTTAGAAATGATATAAAAGCAAATAAAGAATCACACTAGTATTAAAGTTACATAATTTTATTTGTCGAGTATTTTACTCGTATAAATATTTGTTGAGTGAAAAATTATGGCAAAAATTTAATTTATTGTCATATATTAATTTAATTTTTTATTTAAAATGATAAAAAATAATAAATTACTAATTTCACATCAAGGGGCTGGGTAACGGATCGACAGGTTTAGAAACTCAAACGTGATATCTAAATCAAAGCTATACGGGTCGCCGCAGATTAGTTTAGTATACTCGTATATGAACGGATTCAAATAATTAGTGGATTGATTCGATTTAAATCGGCGAGTTCGTAGGTCAATTTGCACCCATGACACAAAATGTCATGTTACATGAATGATCATGTCTGAGTGTAAGAATCTTTGAAAAAAAATCCCTCTTACATTGAGATAAGTGAGAGCTTTAGTAGAATAACAATAGCATTTTTTTATTAGAGAAATTGATGGAAATATCGTTTTGGCATATAGGAACAAGGTGTGATGTGAAATTATGTTAGTGGTTAAAGATCTTTCTTCCAATATGAAAGTTATACCATAAATTTTTGGTGTTTTTTACATATGAAAATTCTTGTAGTTTAACTTTAATGAAATATGATGAAGTATGATTTTTTTTTTTTGGATTATCGTTGTCTACAAAGACTCAACGAAAATTCTTGATGTGATTTAGTTTCAAGTGAAATATACTATTCTTTTAGTGGAGTGTGACGGTTTTTAGGCTATAATTGTCGATGAAGACTATTCTTTTAGTGGAGTGGCGGTTTTTGAACTATAATTGTCGATGAAGACAAAGTGATTTTTTTTGAAATGATATAGCTTCAAGTGATTATACTCTTTATAGAAAGTATGATAAAAACAATGAAAGATTTTATATCATTTTCAATCAAAAGAAGATTGTTGGTTGGTTAAAAATATACATGTTAAAGAGATCTCATATTACTTAGTTTTGTAAAGGAACAGAAAGTTCAATACTATTATAATAGACTCAAGTTCTTCTTTACAAATGAACACAATACACTCAAGTTCTTCATTACAATGCTTTATAATAGACTCAAGTTCTTCATTACAAATGAACACAATTCACTCAAGTTCTTCATTACAAACGATCAGGTCAAAAGCTACAAATTCTACTTTTAAATAAGACCAATTCTATAAAATATAATCGATCAATTCTACTCGAGAGAAACCAAACATATCTCTTGATCAATTTTGAGTGTTCTATATATAAAAGCAATCATACATGTATAATTGGCTCTATCATCGTTATGAGTTAGATGGTTAATAATAACATAATTTGATTCAATTTAGTTTCATTGGAATACAATTCAATGGTGTTGAACCAACTATAAATTTTGTTTGCTTCTGCAACAACTAATTGAAACAAATCAGTTCTATGTAATATATTCTAATCAGTGCTATGTATCAAAGTGGGTGGAAAAACAGAGAGAATCCCCTCTGTTGCTTAGTGTGATTGTGCATAAGATTGAATATCTCAAGTGGAGAATCTATAAACCAAAATAACAGCAACATTAAACTAGCCACCCAATACAAGGTCACTTCTACAACAATCAAGTCTTATCTCAAATTGCAAATTCCAAAAACTTATAATCTATTTTTTTAAAATAAAAATATATTTAAAAGTCCAGTGAGGGTGTATAAAAAGGCCACCACCTTAGGTTGAAACCATGGCCAGAACTGGCCCGACTAAAATCTATGGATGGAACCCCTCCACTGCAAAAGACGTGCACACTAATGACTTCACAAAGTGGATTTTTAGCACAAGGTTAACACCTCAGGTGGAGAAGATCATATAATACCCAACATGAGAGCACTGAGTTAAACAAGCCACCCAGCACAACCTTTTGGGAAAGGGGTACAGAGACCAAATGCTCTTGTATATCAATTATTCAATCACCGAATGGCAAGAGAGACCAAAGGTTTTGAGTTGCGGTTAACCGCCCCCCTTCCTTCATACTACTCCTATATCTAATAAAAAAATATCTACCAAGCAAAGTCTAAAAATATACTATAGAGCAAGATAACCATTAAATGGTTTTAGGAGAACCTTTTCCTATAAAATAAGCGATGAAAAATGGGAAGTAATTGTGTTCTAGAGTTACTGAACGCTTAAATTGCTCAATTTCGTTCTAAATATTGAAAATGTATAGAAAATGTAAACCACATCGAAATACATATGTCCTTAGAAAAGCTCTTTGCATAACCAAGTTCATGTCTCCATATCACTTGCTCTTCTTTGGTTCTTTAGTATATTGAGCTATCAGAGTTTCAACATCCTTCCAAAAGAGGCCTTCAACTAAGACTCCATCCTTAGTGAACCTGCAATCCAAATCAAAACAGATTGATGCATTGAGTACCATATAACAGTGTGCGCACGAATACTAATCCGTATGTTCAGTATCAATGTTTGAGCATGCATTTAAAGGTAAGAGAGACATACCACTCAGTAACACTTTTGGTAAGATTTACGGGTTCATTTGCAGAAATTGATTTTGGATCTGCACTTTCTACCGTAAGTGTGTAAATGTCAGAAAATCTGGGTAATTTGGAGGAAACTACCAAACCAGTGCTGGTAAAGGAACCCTGTAAAAAGAAGTAAAAGCCAAGTTGGAATACATTACTCATAATTAATGTATGTCTTAAAATTCTGCAGAGAGAATAACATCAAACAAATTACTTGATGAAGACAACTCAAAGACAAACCTAAATCTAGTTGGATAAATGAAAATAACATATTCCCTCACAGGCAGCCACTACAAAGGTACAAACATGAAATCCAAACCAACCAGTTTGCAACATTACATCGCTATTAAAAAATGGAGCAACATCCAAATTAAGATTCAAATCAACTAAAACTAAATTGAGTTCCTGGGAAGGATCAGGAAAGGATCTAAGATCAATATCGTAGCACTGATAGTAAGATCTTAACAAAAATGTAAAAATATGTTTTAATCTACAAATATTATATTATTATTATTAAAAAAGTAGATGCATGTCTAGATGAAATGCGTGAGGCGTCACAAGGATGCGTCTCAAAAGCTGATGTGCTGAAAATAAAGTCTGTATGAAGTTTTGACCAAAAGGAAAAAAAGAACTTAGAAGTGGGTGAAAAACATCTTGCAAACAGCGGCAAGATTGCAAGAAAGGTAAAGATGTTGAACAGAGATGGTGCACGTGTCACACTCACAAAACTCTTATAAAGGACAGAACTAGAAAGGGACACGTGAATCTAAATGGGACTTGTGGGTTTTCTGAAACCGTTTTACAAACGCGGCCTGCAAACCTGGCTTATTTCTGCATCTCTTCAGGTTCAGATAACTCGTTCGTGCCCACAATTTCTCATGTTTGAACGGTGTTTGTGCCGCGATTCCATTGTCCCCACCAAATTTCAAGTTTTTTCCGGCATGAGGTCACTCGACACTCAGCCTTGCACAATCCTACAGGTTGGATTGGAATTTTGACTACCATGACTAAAACCATAAAGATTTTAGAAGTTAGGGTTAACTCAAATTCCAGAAGGAAATGGATGAGAGTTAGAATAACAAAGATAAAAGAACTATCTTGGCCAAACTGTCAACCTTAAGACATGTCATAGTCTGGATAATTAGTTTGTTTGCCTTGTTTAATTGTTGGATTGTGCAAATCATGCCGCTGCAACTTTTATCAACATTAATTGAAATTCAACAAAAGGATGCAGAGAATATGACATGATATCAGATTTCATTTGCCACAACCTATTCAATGCAACTATTTCACAACATTAAATATCAAATAAATATTACTAGCTTATCAAACAAAGATTTGTTTCAGCTAACATGTCTATCATGGCTATTGAGCTGAAATAGATATGTTCAAATTATTGTATTTGTATGTATCTTTAGGCCTTACTATGGCACAAAAGACCAAAAGAAACTTGCCAATTGAAGCAACAAGAAAAAGGTATACACCTTTCTCACTCCCTTTTTACAGACACACAGTGACACCAAATAGATTATAGACATAACATACAATTCTTAAATGTTGTTTAAATTTTCAATATATTGGAAATGGATTAAAATGGTCAGATGACAGGGTGCTATATAACATCTAGAAATTAATCATTACAAATTTGCATATACATCTAAAATATATACTCTATAATATAACCTTTACTAATTGAAACCAATGGGTCATAAAACAGCACACATTAAACATTATGCAAATGAGTGAGTGGTACAGTTTGTGATTCAAAGGCAATCTACAGTTTTCATACTCAACACCCGTGGAATGGAATGATATATATTACTTACTCGCCCCTAGAGGGAGGTACACGGAGCCTCAAATTTAAGAGACTTAGAAAAACAAGTTACCAAAGCAATGCAAGTCAAACAAAAAATTTACTCTATATATAAATAGAACTGATAATTAAAGGGAGGTGCCTAAGCCAATTTTACAGAAACTTACAGCCAGAGGATAAGTAAAGAGAATGGCGTTCTTCTCCTTAGTATATATGATCAGCTGCAACAACCCGTTGAAGATTACATATGTACGAGAAAGTCAAGGATCAAACAACAATGACGCAAACATTAGTAAAACTAGCAAACACAAACAACCCCATTTCCCTTTTCACATAAGGGGATTCAAAACAAGATGTTCCCCTTTTGAAATATCCTTTATTTTATATGCATACGCATCTGATAGATTATCCCCTTCAAAGTTACAACAAAAAAACCCAATTCTCCCCTCACTATGCAATATCATCAAGCATAATTTTTTACTTAAAAAAAAAAACACAATAAACAAACAAAAGGATATAAGGCGATGCAGGCAAGAAGAAAATCCCTATTCTCAGGAAACTTCTTCTTGTAAAACTGAGCAAACAGAGCAATGACAATAATAACAGACCCAATCAACAGCCTCACATTGCTCAATCTCACGTCTTCAGAATACCCACGTCCCTTAACCACCTGCAACCCAAAATTCAATTCGATCAAACACAAAAAATGATCCAAATTCAAACAAAATCGAAAAGGGAAAATTAGGGTTAGGGTTTAACAAACCTCAGAAACAGACTCATCGAGAATGTGCTTGATGGAGTGATGATCTAAGAGATTGGCTTTCTTCTGTGATTTGGATGCCATTGAAATGTTCGAAAAGACTTCACTTGACTCAAATGAGAATTGCGTATTTGGTGGTGAACTTGCACTGTGAATAAAGCTTCGATTTTATGTGTGCGTATTGCGCACTCTTCTTCTTCTTGTTGTTACTTTTTTTTATTACAGAAAATTGTTTTTTTGAGAGAAAAAATAATAATAATATGCAGTGTGCACGTCATTGTTGAATTTTGGTCCAATCAGGTTTTATTATTTTTTTACTTTATGGATGCTATTAACTGATTGGATGAATGGCGTGGCGTGATATCATTGGATAAAAGTATAAATCTATTACACTTTTTTTATTTAGTAAGAGTGATGCTTAAAAGGATTGTTTTTAATAATGAATTTATATATTTTGTCAGTCTATTAGGTCGGATTTTAAATTATATATATTTTATTTTAATTATATATAAAATAAAAGAAAATGAATGATATATTAACCGTGTAAATTAATTTTATAATCTTAACCAATTACGACGATGATGTATTAGATATATCATCAATTTATTGTAAACAAATTTAATAATATGATAAAAATTTTAATTTATTATTGAATAATAATGCAAAATAATTTCATACTATTAAAATACATATCAATTAAATTCATAAAATAACATTTACTCTTCCTTACTAATTTATAAGAACACATACTCATGTTACTTATAAGTAAAAAGGTACTAATTTTATTTCAATTAATTATTTTATTCAAAAATTATATTTTCTAAAATAAAAATTAAATATAAATTGTATTTTATTTATTTTTATTTTTTATAAATAAACTAATCAAAATTATTTTTACATCTTCTCATGAAATATATTTTAAAATGGACAAAAATATTTTAAACTTTGTAACTTATTTTTTTTAAATTAATTTTTTTTAGATTAAGGGAGTATGTATACAAAATTATATGACCAACTAACTTGATAATTTCATTAACTAATATTTTAAATATCATTAATCAATTTTATAACTATTAAAAAATTAGATATTTATTAATTAATTTTATAATTTTATTAACCAACATTTTATATTGTATTAACAAATTTTGTTTTACTGCTAAAAAATGTTTTTAATATCTGAAAGTTTATTAATCAACTTCATCATTTTATTAATCAATTTTTTTATATTTTATTAATTAACTTTGATTTACTACTAAAAGTCGTTATTCATGTATTATTTACGAATATTGTTCACGAAACATTTTTCATGTATTATTCATGTCATTGTTCCTGTATTGTTCACGGCACTCTTCATCAATATATTTTTTTATTTTAAAAAAATATTATTCTCTATATATATGTATATATACGGTAAACAATATATATAGTGTAAGTATTTGATGTAGAAATGTCTGTAAACAAAACATTGCTGATAAATTAAGGGGTATGAAATATTGTAATGGATTGAAAAATATGTTTCTTAAAAATAAAATAAAATTAATTTACTTTAATAAAGACCAAAATAAATAAATTAAGTAATTTTTATTTTTCATTTGTCCTCAAAGAAAATATTGACTATGTAAATAAATTTCAAAAAATGTTAGTTTTGTCTTGGTATAAACAATTTATAAAAGTGTATTATCAACCATCTCATCACAAATGTGTCGTTAAGACACTTTAGTTGATAATTATATAAATACATCAAATATAAATTTAGAAATTTGAATCTGCAAAATTCTATTTATTCATCTTTAATAAAGTAAACTTCAACCACTAAACTATTTAACCAAAAAAAAAAGCCAATCACAAATAACAAATAATATGTTTTATCAAAAAAATTATATAAAATTAATAAAATAAAATAAAAATCACAAAATAACTCAATGTAAACTCATTTAATTTATTCTTATAAACTGACAATAAATTTTTTAAATAAAAATTAATTTTTATAGATTGAACTATTCATATTGAAAATTTTGTTAATAAATACTTAAAAGAGACAAACATTAAATATAATTTTAGGTGTAGTTATTATTTTTTAATAAAAATATGTGTATAATTTCCTCAAACACATATGTAATTTTCTCCAATTTGTATTCATTAAATAATATTTAAATATATTTATTATATTTTTATTGAAAAATAATAAGAAACACACCTTTAAAAATTGTATCTAAGTTTTCCTCATTTTTAAAAAAAATATAATATTTGATTAATAAAATATTAGAGTATTTACAATATCATCTTGAAAAAATTATCAAAAAATCATGTTTATTTAACATTGAAATAACTTGTGTCAGTAGAAAAAAAAAAAGATATTTTTATTTTTTAAAAGAGTATTTCTGTATTTTAAACAAATTGTGCGAGTAGAAGAAAAAAAAATATTGCATAGGGGTAAAATAGTCATTTTGGCAAAAGACAATTGAAATAAGTTGTTGACCTAGTGGATTTTTGGTAAACCATCAATTTGATATTCCTATTCTCATATTACATGATCAATAGTTCCAAAATATCAATAGGAAGTGTGAATTGGAGATAACTTGTCAAGGAAGTTATTTGAAGTTTTGAAAATTTTCTAAGTATCCATAGGACTAAATTTTGATTGGCTACAACTTTCTCAATTTTTATTGAAAATGTGAAAATTTTATATGTCTAGAAATAGGATGAAAAATTCTCCAACTTTGTAGGAGAAGCCACAAGTCCAAAAAATGAAAGGAAAAAAAGTTATGAAGCTTGGAAGTTTTTGACACTTAATGAAATTTTGGTTAAAATTGTAAAAATATGACTTCTTCATGTCCATTTTTGAATGACCATTTGAACTCAAATCAAAAAGTTGGCAATATGAAAGTTGGATATTGAAGTTTTCACTTAATTTTTCATTCAAGAATCATCTCAAATGGTTAAGTGTAGAGAAAGATATGATGATTAGGATTTTGAGCTGAAAACTGAATTTTTACCCAGCACAAGGCAAGTCACGCGCTAGCTAGGCATTTCATCAAACATATTGTGGTCACGCATTCATCATCACTTTTATATGTGAAATATTCATTATTTTGAAAATTTTCCAACATAAAAGATCAATCCCTAAATGTGAGGAACAACTTTGCTTCATAAAGTTTCTCCAAATTCTTCCTATATTTTGAGATATAATTGTGAGAAGTAGGCACCATGCATGCTGAATTTTCTGCCCAGCAAGCCATCACGCGCGCAGCCAGCCCAGCCAGGCCTGGCATTTTATCAAACAGTTTGTAAGCACATGTTCATGGCCAAATATCTCATTGATTCAAGCCTCATTTTGAAAAATTGTGAACATGAAAGTTGGAGTATGAAGTGTCCTCTCCATTTTTTATTAAAAGTTTGTGACGTTTCATGCACCATAGAGAGATATAAGGGAGCAAAGAGATGTTCATGAAATAGCATATTTGCATGAAAATGTATGGGAATTTTTTGTGCCAACCCAAAGTCTAATTGCCAGCTCACACTCCAACACTTCTCACTTAATCCAAAAGCACGTGATTTGCACCCTCAAGCAATACAAAATGCATCTCACCTCATTTCCCTCATTTCTCATTTCCCTCACTCTCTTATTCCCACACTCTATGAAAAGCAAGGCATTCAATAAGCAAGGGGGTTGGTTGAAAGAAGAAAAATCAGAAGTTCTCATCTATCTCTCTCCCTCGCGAAAACAAGACATCTTTGTCTCTCTTGGAATTTCATCACCATTTTTGTCAAAGCAAGCCTCCATAATTTTTCAAACTTCTTCGTATCTCTCTCTACTCATCATCACTGCATCTTCAAAGCAAGCATTTCTCAAAAGCTAGCTCTTTATTTGAGCTCCAAGCACCACGAATTTCATTTCAAAGGTAGATGGTCCATTTTCTCTCTCTTACTACAGCCTTGCGTGTTGTTTGAATCCATGAATTTTTTTTTAAATCCAATTATATATTCATAATCTTTGCATTTTTCTGATCAATTTTCATTCTTGGATCATGCATTTTGGTGGAGAATTGAGGGAGAAAACTTAATCACAAAAGTGTTTGTTAAAATGTGTAAATAAAAAAAGTGTTCATGTATCATTCTTCGTGCACGTTTTTCTCCATCATCCAGGCATTATTTCATTACATTTTTTATCCTAACATGTTCTACTAATTTCCCTCTTAAACTTTGGTGTTGGAATTTTTGAATTTCATCAAGAATTAAATGAGATATCGTGACATGAAAGTGGTGTTGAAAACTGAAAAAAAGCTGGAAAAAACGAAATATTATGGGATTTGGTTGGGACAATGACGTGTTCCTTCCTGATTGAACATGGAGATCTTTTTCTTTTACAGCGCATATGTTAAAAAGAAGGTGTAATAGCCTTTGAACTTTTTTATTTATTTATTTTCTTCTCTTATTTTTCTTTTAATATTTTCTTTATTTCAAAAATTATGGAAAAAATATTTTAGACTAATTTTTCAATCTATTTTCATATTTTGATTTTTATTTCATTTTTTTCATTATTTTTCTTGATTAAATAAAATTATGTAAATAACTAAGGTTTTATTATCCTTTTAAATCTTGAATTTTATTTTTCTACTTCTATTAAATCAAAAAAATCCATAAAAAAATATTTTTTTACTCATCTCTGAGTTTATTACTTGAAAATATTTTTTATCCAATTTTATTAAAAAATTTGGTTACATTTTAGAATCATTTGGACATGATATCTTTTATTTGTATTAATTTTGTTAATTTGTGTAAATAATTTCCATCTAATTTTTCCTTTTGAGATAAAATTCAAGAAAAATATACTTGTTGATCATTAGAATTTTATTAACATTTATGTTATTTTACATTAAATTTATTTGACCATTGGATCTAATTGATTAATTTGTGAATTTAATTTCCTTTTTTAGGGTTTTTGTTTGATCATGCACATTAATTAATTTAAATTTCTAATTTTCTATACCTATAAAATCAGAGATGAAGTTGTTTGGAGTGCTTGAATATATTGAGACCATAAAAATCATTTTTCTGGAATTTTACAATATGATTTCATATTT